ATACCCCCATTAATGTGTTTAATGAATTCGGTGCACGAATCTTCGACGCCAGAGTCACGTTTACTAATTTGCGTCATCTGGGGCGTTCAAAAGAGTCTCAAGGGTCGCATGTATCAAGCTACTGTGAGGGCCGTATTATCATATGGTTGCGAATCATGCCTCGGAGGCATCTTTAGATTTTTAACCTTTAATGACTCAGCACCGTTGCTGGTGTCGGATGGTGTCAACGAATCCGTAACTAGGTAATTAAAAAACGTGCAGTTGGTTGTACAGCAGGTAGTTGAGTTGCAGAAAACATGCAGCACCGCCAACTGTGAGGAAAGGACTACCCGTATCGGTTGAAGGACTCGGTGCTTAAATGGTTTTCTCGGTGTGGGAAGGGGTCAAACAACGTGTTTGAGTGTTGATTCTGTTTAGTTAACAACACCGACGCTGATAGCGATGTTGGTTCGTAGTGGAGAGTCTGATAAGGTTTTGGTGACAGCATATTCAGCACTGTCGACGCTGATAGCGATGTTGGTTCGTAGTGGAGAGTCTGATAAGGTTTTGGTGACAGCATATTCAGCACTGTGTATTTAAGCAAGAGAACATGGTCTTCCTGATTTCCTATGTGATGCTAACGGTCGCTACGTGGCAAGGTGAGGCGAAGAAGCATTATTGAACTCTTGATTAACAATCATTAATTAGAGCAAGATGTAGACTGACTTCGCAACCAGTGGTATGTAGTCGCACTAATGAGTAGGTTCTGACTGCAGAATCTGCAGAAACCAGAGCGCCAATTAAGGTATAGGCACTGCCGACTGAGCTGACAATCAGCTTTTGCCAGTTGACCGAAGGTTAGCCATATGTGAGGCGGATTCACACACGTTGAATATGATCCTTGTGTCTGTTGCTTTGATGTATCTCACAAGATACTAAAGTTTACACGTGCTCCCTGTGAATTTTGGTAACGAAGAGAGATAGTAAATCCTAATGTGATGGGCCGCGACACAGAGATGCTTGACTATGAAGGATTATAATGTCTTCCGTTAACAATTTGATTCTCTATTTTGAAAAAGGGAATGCCAATGATTCCCTGTCGCTTCTGGAAATCTTAATTACATGAATGATTTACAGCAAACCTACGTGTTCCTACCAAGGTATGCACTTCGCCAGTTGCCGATAAAACGGAACTACTCACGAAGAATTCGGAACAAAACAGGTACCATAAGCGTGCCATTTGGACGCATTTTAAGGGGGAAATTAAATATAACGTGCTTGACGTTGTATCTAGGAAGCTAATCTACATAGAGCTTCCTTCCAAGGGAAGGGTACAATGACAAGAGTGACTAGCACCAGGCGGCCGCGCTAAAATGGGCATACAGTGAGGCTGAACTACATGTTCTCAAACGAACTCAGGGGCTGCCATCCTCCTCGATCAACCAACACTTTAGGACTAAAGTACACTGTCAGTGCGGAGCAAGTTATACTGACCAAAGGAGACTTCGTCCCCCAAGTGAAGCGACTCTATGTTGAAAAGCTCACGGGCGCTGTTTCATTCTTATCGGAAATTATCAGTAGTGTTGATCTCACGAAACCCCGGAGAGTTGCAAACGCGCAATCACCAGACTAGTAGTCTGATAACATAACCACTCGGCCACGAGAGGCTGTTGTAAGATGCGCGCTGCTGCTGATCTCTAGTGAAGAGCTGAACCCTGCTTCTTGGCTCTTCAGCAGAGGTGGCTTCACTGACGGGACGAGAGCTCCATTGAAAACTTCATACCTCGCACTACCAATAGATCAATCAAAGCCTTCATTGTGGGTCCAGCAGCGAATTGACACGACCATAAATCTGCTCTGAATTTGGTCGACTAACCTATCCGATCTGCATTCATGTGAAGGTTGTATAAAACATTCCCACTGCGGATGTTCTTCTTGGTACTGTCAAGACAATACGGAACGCTTGTATCTACCAGTCTCTATGTTCTGATATGGTTTTTCAAACCTCTAATGCGAACTCAATGTTTTAAATAAGGAAGAATTATTTATTTCGTAATACTGAGGGTGCCAGAGGTGCGACAGTACGGTTATTCTGTGGTACTTGAGAAATCGGTCAGCAGCTCTCACCCTGACTTCTGGAAATACTGAGCTTTACCGTGACGCATTTCTAAGGAACGTGTTTTGACTACGATCGAATCCATCCACTTTTCATACTCTTACTCTCTGAAGCAGCGGTAGCGCTTTGGATATCGAGACCCTTAGATACTCGAGATACTCAAGTTGGAGCGAAAAGGGCTGGAGTGGACAGAGCCCATTTTGTTGTAGAACAAGGTGCTTGGGACTTATTTCCCGTAGATCATTAAGTCGAATAAACGGCTTCTCACTAACAATAGATTGTTTGCGCAAAATAGACCATAGAAATTAATTTGCGCATCGTCGCGTTTTCTTGGTCTGCCTCTGTAACATATCCACACTGGGTAATCGGAACATGGTTGTAAACATAGGTCTTAATGTAGTTAGACTCATCTGATTTGGATGGTAATTCAAGCGACCATTCATGGTGTATCGTGGTCTGCGATGGGTGTCGGTCATGCGCGACGATCTAATGTAATTTGTTCAAATGAGAGTTGCGGTTTCGTTGTGTTGGATTGAGGAGATAAAAAAGACTACATGTGAGCGTACTTTTAGACTAGATAGATGAGTTGATGTCCCGTTAATTACGACGATTTCAATTTCATGTTGCCCCGAGAACCATCGATCACCGCACCAGTGAGTGTAATATTGACTACTCGTGACTTTAAAGTAGGTTAGAATAAATAGGAATTCCTTTGGTGCGCGCGTGCATGCACCTAGGAATCCGATTTTGGTAATATGAACTACTGGGCTCGTGACTTTAAAGTAGGTTAGAATAAATAGGAATTCCTTTGGTGCGCGCGTGCATGCACCTAGGAATCCGATTTTGGTAATATGAAACTACTGGGTCGTCGTTAGAGGCGTCGGACGGACCAATCATAGCACCCAAACGCCAACACATTGGCCTCCTTGGACCTGATATCTCAGGTGCGGCCGGAAACCACCGGTGGAGTAGCGGCAACAGGAGCTCAAACACCGAAGCGGCCAATGACTGCACTGCTGGTGAGCTCTAACAAGAGTGAAACTCGGATCTAGTGGTTTCCCTTCTTGATGTGAACTAGCCAGGATAAGTTTGTCAGAACTGTGAGCCACATGTACTATGAGTCCCAGACTTTCGGAATTTCGTCTGTTCAGCTCTCCAGATGAATCCCAGCATGTTGTATACAGTGTCCTCAGAACTAGGTTGAGCGATCTAGCACAAACATATTCATTCGTTCATTCTGTGTCTTTTCTAAAAAAATCCACTTTTGCCGGGTTCAGTTTGCTTAGATCTTATTGAGCAGTCTCACAACATCTAGGCGACTTCTTCCCACATATTTCCGTTTCCGAGTCATTATTGTGAATCCAGTCATACAAACAGGGACGTGAAAAGTTCAACGGGATGGTTACAGATCAAACTGCAGGCCAATTGGGTCTAGTGCTTAGGAACAAATTTACGCTGGTTATGGCCAGAAACTCACATGTCAAAGGTTTTGAAGTTAAACTTTGGTATCTAATGAAACTGCACAATATCTTCGTCATAGAAAAACCGACCAGATTCAGTTTTATTTTATGTTGCTGCTAGAATGTACGGGTGAACAAGCTATTCAGTTTCGTGTTGACTGAAAGAAGGACAAAATCGAGGTACACGACAGAGTTGTACGACTGGGGAAACCTCACGGTGTATGCTCCACAATTTCGCTCATGTTCACACCCTTTGACAAAAAATATCACTTTTAGAACGGACTCATGTGGTAAGGTTGGTAAAACAGATCATTATTATCGCATTATGTTTGGCCCTCTGGTATGCAAGATAGCTCTGGTGTCGAAGTAGATTTGTGGCCAAAGCGTTACCTCACAGTCTGGAAGGTCCATTTTTGGAACCCGACCTCAGCATCTGTCTAGGGTGGAGAAACCTGTTAGTATTCCAGCCCTCGTGCCTTGGTTTGACAGGTAGGCACCGAAAGGGTGCTACAGCTTAACGATTTGATCTTTTATTCGAAACCAGAAATAAGTAGTTAATTGTGCTCAGAGTGGTTACCAGCGCTTATGAAATGAGGGTTGCAAAGAAATAAGACCTTGAACTGGACTATCTGTGAAATTTCACGAATTCATTGACTGGGTGTCCGAGCATCTCGCGGTAATGGTACTAACGTTGACGGCAAAGCAACCCAAGCTTTGATCCGGTAAAATCAAATATAACCAAAACATTTTTACGGTATGGATGTTGCACTACTTCGTTCGTACGAACGTTGTTTTCCAGTCAATTTCCTTAGAGTTCCGTTTTAGTTCGGTAGATACGGGTGCGTAAGGATATTTGGAAACTTCCAGAGGAGACTTCATCCTATAAGTGGAGCCAATCTGTGCTGGAAAGCCGAGGAGCCCTATATGGTTGTTTCATTCCTGTTCAGAATCATCATCAGGCGCATCTGACGAAATTCCACGGAATTTCAAGTGAATAGTTGAGAACTAGAGATATCTTTCCTAGCGTGCTTGGTAGTCCATCCTAATAGACGTCAGAGTAACTCGCACCTTAGTGATGAAAGAACAGTGGATGACAGGACGGACTCAACAACCTGCTTGACAAGTGAAGCGTTACTGCCGTTCCTCGTGTATTCCCATCCAAATATCATGAGATATACCCTGTTGAGTAATCATTCTCAATTGATTTATCTAGATCTTACTGATTAAATAAATAACGAGAAAAGGATGACTTAGTTGTAGCGAAATCAAATAAACTATGTTAGAGTTTCAGTAAACGAAATAGAGGCCTTACATCCTAGGAATTAAAACCCACACTCCGTCCTAAACAGAGAGTAGTCAGCGTGTATTGTAGGAAACGTAACGGAACTTTCTGTGAGTATGGATCCTGATCTGATTCGTCCACTTCTACCGCACATTCTTTGCAGGATTAAAATGGCTGTCCTGTGCAGCTACACTTCCAGAGAACCATAGCGCCGTCGCCGCCACCACCGCCAACAACAACTGCAGAAACGTCAACCCACTACCCTGCTTGCAGACCAGCGAGGAGCAAGATGCCACAATAATTGAAGGTTATAGTTTACCTGCGCTGGATACACAGGACACAACAAGACCACCTTCGAGATCAGCTGCGGAAAATGACCTTGGATCGAACGAATCCACCGGCAGTCACAATCATCACTCACCTTCATCACTGTCTCATTCGGCCATTCCGACTAGCCCACAGTCTGTTGTTTCAAACAGCTCATCCCACACTAAAACGCGCCTATCCTATGCAGTCTCACCATCTCTAAACACGCCAGGTAAGTTGTTGCTGGATTTGTACTTGGCATGATTCGTATTTTGTTGTTCACAAAAATACGAACCTAGTCAAGCTGGATCGTTTTTTGCTTGAATCGTGCCCTACAGTTTTAGTATTACGGAAGGTAGGATAGCCTACGAGATCCTTTGGACGGAAATTCAGCTACAACAGTTGTGGAGCAATTTAAGGTTCGAGAGGCAATCATCCGAATTGGAGACAGATCGAATTTTGACGAAGTATGTCCCTCAAGAACCGATGGGAAGAAACCGGGTTTAACTAACACAAACTGCAAAATTTAATGACTAGTCGGTCACCTGGCTGGCAGATGTGTGAGTTCACGGACAGGCAGCATCTCTTGTGACAGCCCTACCTAGTCGTAACCGAAGTATCTGAACAGATTGTGAGTGGAGACAATCATCAACTGAGGTTCACACCGCCCGATGCTTCCCTGCAAAAGTAAAACAGTTCTACAGTGCTTCTCAGTTTTTCAGCATTGCTCCCTGAACTATTGTTTGATTGTTCACGTGAACACGCAAAACTATCTTTCCTCGGAGAAGCTTGGGTTTGCTCTACAGTTGATTGCATCCAAATGTGTCACTGAACCGTAGGTATCTTGGGGACTTGGGTGATTCACTTGTAGATCAGAGCTGGTATCGTTGACAGCTGTCTCAATCATTTGTCGAGATGTTCACTGAGACTGACTGCTGTGCCACAAGTTTTAACAGAGGCACACCATGAAAGCTGAGCCGTGCTAGATGTCACTGGATTAAAAAAACAGTGAAGGGCAACGAAAAGATAGACGCCATGGGCCTTCTCTCGATGCATTTTTAGGTTTATATTCAGATCATGGGAATCTACATTCTTTCCACAGGAGAATATGGGAGAAAAGAGAGAAACGTCTCATTCGAAATCATGCCAAGAACAGTTTCAGTCTGATGAGGTAAATCCCAAAGTATGTAAAGGTTTTGATATGGAAACACGCGTCTAAAGACCAACAACCGAAGAAAGGACAAACAATGGTGAATGCTCTTCAAGACGCGGTAGGCGCTAGCACAGTCAAGGCTCGCATATCCGGCACAAAGGGTCCGTCATACTGGGTCTGGTGTGAGATTAAACGGCAAAAATGTACATTCAGCGCCATGTACCACGCATAAAAGTGTCATAAGTACGCAGAGAGCCCACAATGGCAAGCAAACACAAGTCACTGACTGCGACCTTAGGAAGTCCCAGTCCAATAACAGCCTTAGCGGATTGAGGAAAGCAGATCCCTCGATAAGAGATGATCATCGGTTGGTGAACCAAAAAGTCGATATCACAACCGATGGCATGTAGGGCTGAGATTATGGCGAGGGAATGTTCATCAGCACCATACTTCTGTTTCTTCTCATTCCACACTATCACTCCACGCCCATCCGAGATTATGCTGACGTCTATTACAGTTGCACGGCGATCTCGAACAGCGATTAGGTCAGGTTTGATGAACGACGTAGAAGTAGGGGCTCTCAACTCCTCGAAGACGGTGTACCCCAGTCGACGGAGACGTTTTGCAAGTTCCCTTGCAACCCGATTATGACGAGCACATCTGGCATCATGCGTAATCCAGCAGGATTGCAAAATATGCACCAAACTCTCCGGTTGGCCACAGTTTCCACGACATAAGATCGTCTGGCCACCATGACCATGCCGAGCGCTTCTAACTCTCGTCCTAAGCAGGTTGCATCGGAGCTGGATACCCCGGATAAATATCCGTGGAAACACTCGTTCTGGGAATACGAGCCATCGATTCGAGAGAGGCGAAGTGACCAACTCTCGTAAACCGCGACCGTCAGCGCTGTTGTGCAGACTTTCACCCCAAGCAGCCACCAGCTCCTCCTTGGTGTTTACGCATGCTCCATGGACTCGGATCGGAAGGCTGAGATCCCGAACAATTTTGCCGAATGCGGAATCGTTGACCACATTGCGTAGTACTCGGCACTGAGTAGAGAGGAGCTTTTCCATACGCGTTTTCCGCTGCATCGGGATTGTTGCACTCAGACTTGGGATACCAAGTCCCCCATGTTGTTTACCGGCGTGGATGTAGCTGATTGGGGTGTCCTTCGGTAGACGTAGCCAGCCACGAATATATTGCCTGATGTAGTTGTCCAATCTTTTTAGTGTGTTCCTGTGGACTTGGCCGAGCACGAGCGAATATGTCAGCCTTGGTATCAGGTAGTTCCTCGTGATATCCATTCTTTGATGCGGCTTCAACGGGGCACGCGTCACTTCTTCGAGCAGTTTGAGCAGGTGCTGTCGGTGGTTGAAGACCCCTTTCCCCTTGGAGGTGAAGGGAATGCCCAAATATGTTACAGTGTCTGTCGGACCCAGAGGAGTGATTAGTTCCTCGGCAAAGCGAAATGGTTCGACTGAGACTGCTGTTGCCCGATGTTTCCTGTCCCCACAAATAACCATCACTTTAGTCTTTCGGGCGTTTATTTTCATGCCAGCTCTTCCCAACTCGACCGCAGCAGCTTCAAGCTTCTCTTTAAGGCGTGCCTGACTTTCTGCACACACGACCCAGTCGTCAGCGAAAGCAAAACCATCTACTAAGGTGTCATGGAACTGGTATCCCAGTTGCGGCATCGACAATCCAAGAACCTCATCCATTGCCATAATGAATAATAATGGGGAGAGTGGATCTCCTTGCCTCACACCTCTGTGGCAGTGAACCTCGGAACTGGGGAAAACTGCTACAGCATTCTCATAGGACTGTGCGATGTATCGAACTAGAGGTGACGGAGCTCCAAACGCCTTGGCAGATCTGACGATTGTGTCATGCGAAACCGAATCGAACGCTTTCGAGATATCGACAAACGCCAAGCTGAGGTTAGAAGCAGTCGCTGAAGAGTGACGAAGCAGGGCATGCAACAGCGATGTGGCTTCCAAACAGCCGTCTCGATGCAGAAATGCAAACTGAAGAGAGGGCAGTTGCAATCTACGACTCCAGCGATCAGCAAGCACCTTATGGAAGCAACGGACAAGAATGGATGACACGGAGATCGGTCTCAGTTGATCAGGTGAAGTCGGATGTGGGACCTTCGGAACTAGCGTAATACGGGCTCTACACAGATGTGGGGGACAACCCCCAGATAACAAAAATAAGTTGAAATACCCAGCGAGCACATTAGCATTGAACCGGCGGAGCGTCTTGGGTGTGAGCTTGTCCAGGCCTGGGGACGAATTGCCCATTAAACGGATCGTACGGCCAACTTCCTCTCCTGTAATTGGCTCGATCAAGCTCCAGTCGGATGGTACTACCATGCGACTTGGTCGGCTATCCGCGTGTTTTGGAGCTGAGAGCACTTGTTTCCAATACTGTTCGGCGTCCATAGGTAGGCCGCAGTTTCCTTTGTATAAATCCTTCCATGACCCATCGAGTACAGCAGACGCTGCATCTTTCCGTCTTTGGTGGTATAGAGTCTGGATGGCGGCGTAGTTGGCTCGGCGGATCTGCTTTCGGCTGACCGGGATCCGATGGGCTAACTGGCGGCGACGTCGGGAAACAGTTTTCCAGGTGTGTGGAAATGTCCTGGAGGCGTGGAGGTCCAGAAGCGACAGGACTTGCTCCGGTGTCATGATGCCAGACTGCAACCCTCGGGCAAATGCCAGAAGGTCAACACTAGCGAGCGAACGGTCAGCATGGGATTCCAAGAGTGACACGGTGCAATCCACGGTTTGTTTAAACCAGACGCTGTAGTCATCGGCTTCTGATGAGTAGGCCGTCGTCTGACCGATAGTTTGCTCAGGTTCACCAGATGATGATTCGTCCTGTTGTGCTTGCCAGTTAAGCACCCGTAACCTGGTTTTGATGCTGATAGCCGATCGACCAGGAAAATACTGCTCCAATCTCGTGAACAGCTCGGTTTGCGTGCCACAAGATGGATATAAATTGTTAGCCAGGCGTAAGAGCGATTGTGACTCTTGCTGGGACCAGCGGGTACCGGAATACTTCACTCGGCCAAGCTTATCTGCATTATGCTGGGTGGGGTGTGCGTGCCGGCGGTGTTGACTCAGGCCAATCTTCGTCGGAAAAAGGCGGGAACAATCAGCGCAGGCCAATTGGGCGACTGTGTTCGTACCAACACTTTCATTGTCGTGAACTCGATGATGGGCTACAAAGCCAGCTTTCGATTTGCAGCACTTGCCACATTCCTCACACGTGAACCCAACGAGTCTCTCCTGTGTACTGGTTGGAACTGGTGCGGAGGCGCCAGATGATTCGTAGTATACATTGTCGAAAGTAACCAGCACATTGAAACCAAACGGGGTGGTTGGCCCTGTCTGGAGTTGCTGAACTCTTAGCTCACCCAGACAGACGTCCAGGCTACCCGGTCGGCACCACGAGGAGGTGGTTCAGCTCGCCGACCACTATTACTACTACTACTACTACACTATATACTATATTATATTACTACAAAAGTATATTATACCATACTATCGGCAAGCAGATCGCTCGCAAATCCGCTTTTCATTGACATTCTGGGTGAGTGAGTTTACTATATACTATATTACTACAAAAGTATATTATACCATACTATCGGCAAGCAGATCGCTCGCAAATCCGCTTTTCATTGACATTCTGGGCTGAGTGAGTTAATTTCGTACAAGTTGAACCTTGGCCATATGCCGAATAGAATGCCGTGTGATGCACCCAGCTTCTGGTGAACGATCAGTTTTTTCATAGTTTCATATATCATGAAAGTTCTATTGCGTTGACTCATGTTAGTAAGTAAGGTGGAACACTTTGCTCCAGATTCAGACTTCCACTTCCTTTTATCAACAAGATAAATACGATAACTACACGTTTTTACCCTAATTCACTCGACAACGGACAATTTTTGTCACTATTTTAAGTAGGGTATGCTCAGTGGTCATGGCTCTTCGCATCGTTTGAATCTATCGACCAATTTCTGCCTCAGTAGTTTACAATCTGGCCTAGAATACAGTAATTGGTGCTGTTACGATAAGTCAACTTCAATACTATATTTCTTTTAACTAAAATTGTTCTATCCTAGTCCTCTTAGTGTTTAATATTTATTGATACGCTTTTTTATCAGATGCGGGATGCTTGAAACTGCGACTGGTTTCGGTTGGGAATACAGGCTCGAAAAAATCCGACCAATGGGATCGGTCGCCTCAGATGGATCACGTGAGTTGCTGAAAAATCAAAAGTTTCTATTAAAATATCATTGGCTGAACAGAGATTGTTCTCCTCACAAACGCAGTTAGATAAACCCGTCTATATTTTCATTGTCGTCTTCCCGATGGGACATGGTGCCAGAAGCTCTTACAATAATGTGGAAAGCGATAGGAACCTGAAGGAGCCCTTACAACGAGAAAAGGGTTAGAACACCGCAAGAAGTAGATAAAGAGGAGAAACAACGCAAAAGTGCGTTCTGTTGCAACTGTAACGGGTGAACGGTATCTTCGAGTGACGCGTAATACGAGAACCTCCGGGAGGGCAAAACAAAGTCGGAGCTGAGTTTCTCGACAGTAGGTACTCGCCCAAAACAATGATCCACTTGGACTACAAAAGTACGAACCAAATGAGCAAAGTGACTCCCGCGTGAGACAGTCACACGTGCACCAAGTAGACCACAATTGACTGTATGACCTCAAGGCCAAATGGATGAAGTGGTAAGGACAAACAAACGTCAGTTCATATACGCAAACTCAACACAAGGGGGGGGGTTACAAACAGGGACAGAATAAATGTGGGGAATTTCAATTGTCAACGTAATGGATGATACAGCAACACTGAGTGCACAAGTACTAATAGTCAGCAAAGAGGCCGCTACAAAATGACCGTCAATGTTCACTGGCAGACCAGATTGTGCGGCTGCCTTGAAACAATGTTGCATGAATGCAACTCGTACTACTGATGGTTGCACTTTTGAAAAGCGGAAGGCTAAGTTCATCCCGATTGGGCAACTGTGTAGCATTGATTTCCGTTCCTCTGCTAAGTATGCTATGGCGACAAGAGTCTTCAAATCGTTTCGACAATCCGATTAGACAAAAATCTAACATTCTATATGTTTGGTTCTCATACTGATTGCCGTTTTTCTTACACATCCACACGGACACCGCTGATTGATGTTCAATCCAAGCTTACTATTATCTCGTCAGACAAATAACTCAACTGAGACTTGTGTATATGATTCTGGATTTTCTTTCCGTTGATCATTGTCATCTTGAAATTTGTTCTTGTGTGTTGATAACATCAAAACATACTATGTTTGTCTGGTTCACGTGATTTAGGCAAGGACCCCGGGTTTCGCAGATTCGTGCTCCACGGACAATACCGAACCTCTTGGGGAACTTGAAGAAGGGACGAAAGAAGACTCTCCACCCAGAAAAAGTACGTTTACTGTGTTTATCGCCAAAATGGCCCCTTTTTGGGAAGGACTTTATCATTATTGGAGTATTTTTCAAACCCCTCTTTAGGGAGGACCTTCTTGGGGGAATTGATAATGTTTTTCGGTTTCGACTACTGAACATTCTTTTGATGGAGCACGAGATAACGCCAAACAGAAAATCGACTAATGCAAACTGCGCCTAATACGTATTGTCTTCACTCAAATCTCTAAAGTGTCATCATCATCATCATTGTCAGCTGTATTAACCGCGTACTCGTCGTACAGTGGTTGTAGCTGCCACAGTTTCGTTCACCGATGAGAGACCCAATCCTACTGAGTAGTACAAACCGATCGATGGCGAGCTATGCTGAGAACGGAACAGCTTAGATGATAAAACGCTCCGTTCTTTAAGAAGGAGGAATGAGAGTAGCGGGTGGACCACTGACGTTCCAACCTAGTTTCAGTTTGGCCACTAGCATTCACCAATACAATCTGGCCAGCCGAAAAAAAAAGAAATTGAGCACTACTCGGCGGAGAAACTATAGAAGGTCAACGTGAAGTATCCTTTCAGGGCAATGTGAGCATCTCGATATGGTCCTACCCATTTGTACTGCGTAGTGTCGTGACTGAGAATGGCTAAGACTACTCGGAATCCAGACATTTAAGTCTCTTCGGATAGGTAAACATCCCCAAACTCACGTGTGCTTTTTTCGTGTTGAAATTCCCTAATCGAAGAGCCACTGGACATCGATCAGGTGATGCATGCTTGAGGGACAGATTCAAGTGAATCGCACTGCTGATTAACCTTTCGAAACCGAATGGTGTGGAGCTCCTCTATTAACCGGAAGACTTGGGATTCAAAGTTCCCAGGAGATGCTTTCCAACAGGGATGAGACAGTCTTGGCGTGCTTTGCGGCTTTTCAGCAAGGATTGATTTTACTCGCGTGATAGAATCTGGACTGGAACTCCTCTCATCCATACAATAGAGTTGTATTCAGGATGAAGTGAAGCTTAATTTTAGAGTCCTTTCATGAGTATACCGTCTTATTTTACGGTACAAGTGGTGCTAATCGCAATTCGAGTATATTCTCAGTGTCAGTGTGAAGTACACTAGGTTGAAGAACCCGCTAACGTTGAATTCAACGACCAGTTGCGGGAGCCACTCACTATGAGGTCACGTAGTGCGAACTGAGATTTTGATGTGTGCGTGATGACGGTTCTCAATAAAGATGGTCCGTAATGCAAGATATTTAGCCTTCTCATTAGAGATTCATTTTTCAAGTGAACTGAGAAGCATTATGCATTCATCTCATCCCTGATGGGAATCATCAGCAGTGAGCATCTATGGAACTCCAATGGTTCTCGAACTTTCCGGCCAGTAGTTTAGCCACAAGTGATTGATCAGCAGTTTGACTAATCCACAATTAGACAAGATGTAGCACCGCTCATCCTCCAATCATGGGGTCCACATCATGTATTCACGTGTTGACTGGCTTCTCAAATGACGACTTGCCGGACGAAGGTTTCACTTGTCAAGTAAATTTTATTCTTTCACTTAGCTACTTATCAATCAAAGGTAGTGCGAGGAGACTTGGTTATTTCGATACGATACTTTGTCCCGTACAACTCACATTGCCTGATAAGAAGAGATGGATGAACGAAACGTCAATAGCCCCACTGTCCGGTACCCTCACACACCTACTACATAAGGCCTCCGTCCGAATAATGAGCCTCTTCATAGGGCATTAGTGATCCGCATCCATTCATTCGTCATATGGAATATTTTCGTCAATGCCCACTCCCATGAAAGTGAAAATCCATAATCACAGACGCCAACGACGACATACTCAGAAGCACTCAGTATACAGTAAACGATCGGTTCACAATACAGATATGATTTTTGCTTTGCGGAGTGAGAAATCCTGATAATTTTAGTTATGTGCAGATCAAGTGATCAAAGTTCAGGTTTCTGACCTGGTTGGATCTTCGATAGTGAACGCTTTTTGTGGACGCTACTGAAACTCAACTTGAGCGGTGGATCAATAATTGTTCACTCCATCAAAGTCATTCATCACGGCGTCCAATCGTCTGAGACAGTTTGAGTCCAGTCATCTCCACAGTCTATGAGGCTAATCGTTTGTGGATCATAGACATTATATTTCAACATAGTTTCCAGGTGAGCATCTGGCAGTAATGCAATGTCAAAAACACTAGTACGCACAGTTCCCAATCGCGTAGGCTGTCCAGCTCGTTGATGTAAATACTTAGTGTAGGTTTCTGGTTGATGGAACTTCGGATGAATTCCTTGCCACGTTCTATTCAAATGCAAAAAACTTAAATCCGTCATATATCTTCCATTTAGTTGTAAGGCGAACAAGAGGCACAACAGGGAAACCCAGCCCGGAACGTTATAATTTCCAAGAAAGTCCACTTCACCAACAGGCCGTCAGTCGATCCACACCAGAAAAGTCTCGAACAAGCGTACCACGTACCAGGTACTCCGAAATGGACCAAGGATCACAGGTCAAATCATTGAGATCTTGCGTTATAGCTTCAAGACAGCAATCGTCGTCTTCATCGTCACCAAGCCTACCATTATCATCATCATCATCGCAACACCAGCAGCGCTCAGCGAGTCTCAAAGAATTAAGCAAACTTCAAGCTAGACGCCCAACTATGGATACCAGTTTACGCACACCTGAGGGACTGTACAAGTGTCGAATATGCAAACGCCTTTTCCCCAATCGTTTCTCTCTGACCGGACACTACAAATCACATTACAATTCCAGCCAGAAGCCATATAACTGTGACGACTGTGGACAGCGCTACACTTCTCCAAGCAATCTGCATTACCATCGAGCTCGAAACTGCCCGATCTTGAAGCTGCGTGATGTCAAAAACGGAAAAGTCACGCCGAAATCAGACAGGAGTTTTAAGTTGATTCAGACGAAAGCAATAAAAGCGGCCGAACGCCAGGCACTGTCTAGGACACACGAAACAAGAACAGAGGGGATGACTGCATACGACACCCTTGCCACTGAAGTGCACACAAGCGCAGTGTGTCGTCGTTCCAACGCAACGTGTCAGTCAGTGAAAAGAGATCAGCCTCTTTGCCCCAGACAGAGACTGCTGTTAGAATCACCTGACAGTCATGAAGGGGCTAATTCAAACAACCTATGTAATGCAATTCCCCCGCCTATGCAACAAGTCGTTGGTTCCGACCCACCAAGAATACCATGTATAGCTCCATTGAGGACGGATTCCTCGGTCCCGTCGGCTTTCAAGTCGAATATCCCAAAGACTCCGTTTGAGCCACCTCCTACTTCAACTCAAGCGCTTGAAGAATCGCCACAATCGAATAATTCCTTATCATATTTACATGAACAACTCCGTCATTTGTTGGAACAGGCTTGTCAATCAGATGAAGCACGCCAGAAAATTTTAGCCTTTACATCCCTGGCGCTATTATCTGCTTTAGGTCCTCTCTCCAAGCCTGAACAAGCTGAGGCAAGTAGTCTACCAAACTCCGTGTTTGAAGCGCTCTTTTCGCGCTTTCCTGGATTGCTCAATTCACCGGAATGTGGAACACATGTGTCAGCTAGGGACGCTGCGCACAAAGAAGACCTCAGGCAACGAGAACCTCCCTCAACCAGTGCCAAATCACCTTTGTGCACCAACAGAACAAATGTCGCGCAATCCCCAATAGAACACAGGCCAGTTGAAAAGCCCAGTCCCGGCTATATGTGCCAGCACTGCCGCAATCCACAAGTATTTTCAGATCTTACAAGTTTTGAAGCTCACCTATTTCTTGTACATAGTAACCGAAGCAGCCGTACTCCGAATTCATCAAGCGGACATTCTTCTTCTCCTATAACTTCGAGCACCACGTTCCAAGCGAACTCTCAAGGTCCTCCGGTTGGATCGAACGCAAGCAATCACGAACAGCCCACAAGGCCCACTAGCAACACACTAGGGGCTTCTCCGACGTCGTTCTTTTTGAAGTGTTCCGAATGTGATCAGCCGTTTTCATCCTTCACCGACTGTCAACTACATTTCACCAAAATGCATCAAAGCTATGGATTACAACGAATTTGAATACAAGGAGTCTTAGAAATCCCATATTCACTTGTTGAATATCACAATTTTGTGGTCGACGCGGAAGCACATGGTAGGTCAATGCTTTGGATGGACAGGCACCTGAGAAGCGCCACTGTAGATAATGCATTCACTAATGTATCTAAAACTGCGCCATACGGATTGCGGTTTCCTTCTTTCGAGGCTGATAAGACCACTCCGAGATGTTCGTATACCAGCTGAAACTGTACAAATGTTGAATTTGCATTTTTCAGTTTTGTTTTATCTTCTTTTTATCCATTCCTGAATTGATTTCTTCTACTTGCAACGAAAAACGAGAATGTCTTTATGGCCTTATTTCTCTAGGTCGGAGGCGGAAGGAGCTTTCTGTGTTGTTTTTGCGTTTTAGATTGTGTCGATGAAGTTATTGACTCGACGGAAGGACTACTTGGCGAAACAGGCGATTTTTAGACGCCACTACTAACAGTATTCCGGTGGATACTGGATTTTGGGCATCTTCGTAACATATTCGGTGTAAAATTTAGTCAATCTATGCCAGACAGCTTGCTAGTTTTGTGCTAGGTTCACCTAAAAATGACAGGCTGCTAGGTCCGAGTCACACATGGTTCGTCTTTTAGTCCGTCTCTTTGGTTCTCGCGAACAGGTTCCACAGTGGTGATCCAGCGTCACATTTTCGTTCACTGATGTGGTCCAAAAAGGAGCTAAGACGAGGTATTGGAAGTCCGCACAGCAAGCCGCAAACTCAGTTCCAGTTTTTCTGCGCGGAGGAATGTTGGAGATCTCACCTGGTGGGCACAAAAATAACGGAATATACGTCAAGTCATGTCTAAAGTCGGCACGGTTTCATACGAGTATAATAGGGTAGAAGCTTCTTGGCGATCTGCGTCGGAAATTTCGGAATGGTGAATTAGCAGATGGGACTTGTAGGTTAAATGTTTGGCCCTCAGAGGACTGGTACAGTTGTGGGGGTTCTCAAAATGAATACAAGTACATTGGATCAAATGGTACTGCATGTACAATACAGTATTGTTCATCCTATCCCTTTATCCTTCATGTTGTCAACCCTTTCCCTCATCGTTAGTTTCCGGTACTTTTCTTTCATGAATGCCTCATCATCATCACCACTGACAGCATGACATCCATGCACAACACGGATGCTTCATTGCCGTACAACCATGACTTATTTGAAAGCCTTATTGTAAAGAGAAGAGTAAATGTGGATGGGTAAGGGACTTAGTGCTAGCTTACCTCTTTCATGACCAGTTTGTTTTATAATGATATGAAAGTGTACGGATGCGAAAGCAATAGCGTTTCTCAGTAGGTAGAAGTCGAAAAGGAATTGTGGTGAGCCCTAATCAGAAGAACTATGTAGAAACCAGATTATCTCAGGCAAAAGATTGTCCAAAATTCAACAACCCATGTAATTGTGGCGTCAGTGTAGAGTCCGATCACGTGAAAATATGATTTCAACTGATGAGCTCCAGTAGCAGATCTGGCACTGCAATTGAGGCACAGAATGTTTGCACGGACGCCGAAAACAACGCGATCAGTGCTTTACCGTGGTTGCGTAACAAACAGGGATAGCGCGTCAGAGTGCTGATAGGATGAGTAGACCGAAATCGCCAACAGGCAACAAAAATTTAGAAAGAAACAGGCAACCTATAACCTATTCCAAGCCGCTATTATGAGAATGTACACTGGTGGCCTTTTGTGCTGGATTCAATGACTTGTTGAATTAATGACTGGTTGGTAAACGCGGCTTTGGGGAAGAAATTACGTGAAACATAGGAAATATCAAAACCCACTGGGTGAAGACCGTTTGGTCAAATGGGCGAAATATACGGAGCGCTTCAAAAATGTCATATTGGTAGTCGTGAAACGATTACCGACCACGGTAGCCTCCCAGAATCGGTGGCCTGTACAGATTTGATCGGTCGTAAACCACCCAAAACAAGCCGATCCTTTCAGCAAAAGTACGGTTGATCGGGGTCGCCCACTGTGAACTCTGACGAGTTCTTTCGAAAGACACTTTCAGGCAACAGTGGAAATGTGGCATGAATTCAGGGCAAATAATTTCCACCCCGTGTTTGCATGGTTGTGCTGATTGTTGATGCCCTTCACACCTGAGGCATCTAGAGGAACTAATCGACCTCACTATTCCCTTTCTAACTGGTCTTTCTTACGACAGGGACACGGTCTTTGTGATGGAAGTCACAGGCCTGTTCGGAACAGAAAACATGGCTTAACGGTGGAGTGCTGTAGGTCTTCGCACGTTATGGACTGGGACCGAAGTGAACTGTTGCGTTGTTACAAACCCGCTAAACATGGCGAGCAGCCGACCTGTAATGGGCGCACTTTCAGGCCGAACAATCTATGACGTTCGTTTGCCTACTGTACACTAGCGCTAATCTCTGATGCGAGTCTAGGTCAGTAAAAACATGTACCACTCCATTCCGACGCGAAAATCAGCTGTTTTCCTGTGATTTTCCAATATTCTCTTGTACCTTCTTCATAGAAAGCATTCTTCCATAAGATCACACGCCAGCAAGCAAGTGCTGAATACCTGTAAAGTGCTTTCGCTGAGATTAGCGATACGGTCTACTCAACACTAGCCATGAGGTCTTGCAGTTCCAGTAAAAATAGTACAGTTGACTCCCACTGGGTCAGAAACCATCGCCACATTAGCGGCAAATCCTCACCGTGTTCTAAATACTAGACAAGTCTCGAGTTACAACAGTGGAATGTTGTCTGACGTTCTCAAATGCTTTGTTCAGCCTGAACCACGTCCCGCGACGCAGTTCTGTGATCAGCCAACCTAAGTTGCTCGTCGACACCTCGGAGAGCGTCCTGTTGGCGCCCTTGAAACTCCATACTCGCTTAAGGAGCACCGAGTGCTGGTATATTAAGTACTCCAGACATTGCATAGGATGTGAAACGCAATAACTTAGATGCCAGAAAATATGCGTTCCGATGTATGGCGAGTAGTCCACCACACTGGTGTGTCACTGGAACCCGATTTCCAGATAAGGCAGTGAAAATTTTAGCTGCTGTTGGAATCAAACTGCCGTATGCTACCACAAGACAGAACACAGCTGAATGTTACGATTTACTGAACACCGCAATCAGACTATTACTGCCGCCATTCACTTTTTTTAGGTTCCGCTAGTCAGACTGCATCGGTCCGTACGGACGGATAGAGTAACGCAACACCTGACAGCTAGAGGCGCGTATTCGTTTGAAGTTTGGTACACCGTTGATAGTGAAGAGTTTCGGCGCGTGTCCTTACTGTGTTGGATAGATTGGGATACCTATGTTCGTCAGTTTACAATAGCGACGAAGTCGGCAGTCCTAGAAAATCACGAACGAATAACTGAACAGGTAAAGTACTCTGTATCTGTTAACCGATTCAACTGGGAGTATTGCCCGCTAAACAGGATATTGACGACAGACTTCTCAGCCGTGTATGACGCTCTCGGAAGCGGTCGCTGCGGTGTTGTCTGCGATGAAATGTATCCGCTTACAGAGGTTCAGTCGTGCGCCCAAAATCCTGGCGATAATCCCCACCCTCGTGGCATACTTGAGGGATTCCGTTAGAGCACCGTCCCAGCAAGCAACAGACGGCCTCCACGATTGGTGCTGAAGCGTTTTTAGTCCTATTGCCAAGCTCGGCAGGCAAACCAACGACCAGATAGTAAACCCGAGTTGCCTATATTTCACAACATTCCTGTCCACTGTCTGTATATACCACCAGTGAGTTAACTAAAAGTAAGCTAGGCCAACTAATTGGACATTATGACTCGGTGAATCCACCAACCCCTCCAAGTGTTAAACGATGCTCCACGGCCTCATTATCCATCAGCGCCATCGTTACGTAAAGCTCACCTGGATCTCCTTATATCCTGGCAATTCTCTGAACCCATGGGGACCGACCATTCTATGCCGGAATCGGACTGGGGGTTATTTCTCACGATAAAACTCCCATAACCACAGAACCTGATACAAATCCACATGTACCATTCAGTCAACATAGACGAGTTGGACGTAAAGTTGAATCACCATTCCCTTGGATCAGGTGAACGTGCAAAGTAAAGAGGAGCTTCAAGCAGGCTGGCCAAGATGTTTTAAATTCGCACAACCGGCAACCGCATGCTATACGATTCGGAGGCCGTTTGGTAGTTACTGCGAGAGGTAAGCGCGTCTACATGACGCTCGGACCACGGCTCAGCTGAGGCGTTCGAAAAACCGGTTCCCCGGAGAAGCCCTAGAACTTCTTCGTAAAAGCTAATGTTTCCCGAATGCCCCCACAGCATACGCTTAATCCTCACCACGAATGCCGACCTCATGGGCGTCATCGTAAACTCATAAAAATGATATTACTTACGGTTGATCAAGCGAAAGACTTGCTAGTGGGGAAAGCAAGCGGACCATAAGACCTGGTCACTAGCACACACACAGCGTGTCGGATCCGGTTACACTGAGTAGCGTGGCGCGCCCAGACGGTATAGATGACGCTATGCCATGCCACTGATACAAATGTTGTAAACCTGTTGTGGAAATCATGAGCCACCAGCTGTTTTCCTGTGATTTTCCAATATTCTCTTGTACCTTCTTCATAGAAAGCATTCTTCCATAAGATCACACGCCAGCAAGCAAGTGCTGAATACCTGTAAAGTGCTTTCGCTGAGATTAGCGATACGGTCTACTCAACACTAGCCATGAGGTCTTGCAGTTCCAGTAAAAATAGTACAGTTGACTCCCACTGGGTCAGAAACCATCGCCACATTAGCGGCAAATCCTCACCGTGTTCTAAATACTAGACAAGTCTCGAGTTACAACAGTGGAATGTTGTCTGACGTTCTCAAATGCTTTGTTCAGCCTGAACCACGTCCCGCGACGCAGTTCTGTGATCAGCCAACCTAAGTTGCTCGTCGACACCTCGGAGAGCGTCCTGTTGGCGCCCTTGAAACTCCATACTCGCTTAAGGAGCACCGAGTGCTGGTATATTAAGTACTCCAGACATTGCATAGGATGTGAAACGCAATAACTTAGATGCCAGAAAATATGCGTTCCGATGTATGGCGAGTAGTCCACCACACTGGTGTGTCACTGGAACCCGATTTCCAGATAAGGCAGTGAAAATTTTAGCTGCTGTTGGAATCAAACTGCCGTATGCTACCACAAGACAGAACACAGCTGAATGTTACGATTTACTGAACACCGCAATCAGACTATTACTGCCGCCATTCACTTTTTTTAGGTTCCGCTAGTCAGACTGCATCGGTCCGTACGGACGGATAGAGTAACGCAACACCTGACAGCTAGAGGCGCGTATTCGTTTGAAGTTTGGTACACCGTTGATAGTGAAGAGTTTCGGCGCGTGTCCTTACTGTGTTGGATAGATTGGGATACCTATGTTCGTCAGTTTACAATAGCGACGAAGTCGGCAGTCCTAGAAAATCACGAACGAATAACTGAACAGGTAAAGTACTCTGTATCTGTTAACCGATTCAACTGGGAGTATTGCCCGCTAAACAGGATATTGACGACAGACTTCTCAGCCGTGTATGACGCTCTCGGAAGCGGTCGCTGCGGTGTTGTCTGCGATGAAATGTATCCGCTTACAGAGGTTCAGTCGTGCGCCCAAAATCCTGGCGATAATCCCCACCCTCGTGGCATACTTGAGGGATTCCGTTAGAGCACCGTCCCAGCAAGCAACAGACGGCCTCCACGATTGGTGCTGAAGCGTTTTTAGTCCTATTGCCAAGCTCGGCAGGCAAACCAACGACCAGATAGTAAACCCGAGTTGCCTATATTTCACAACATTCCTGTCCACTGTCTGTATATACCACCAGTGAGTTAACTAAAAGTAAGCTAGGCCAACTAATTGGACATTATGACTCGGTGAATCCACCAACCCCTCCAAGTGTTAAACGATGCTCCACGGCCTCATTATCCATCAGCGCCATCGTTACGTAAAGCTCACCTGGATCTCCTTATATCCTGGCAATTCTCTGAACCCATGGGGACCGACCATTCTATGCCGGAATCGGACTGGGGGTTATTTCTCACGATAAAACTCCCATAACCACAGAACCTGATACAAATCCACATGTACCATTCAGTCAACATAGACGAGTTGGACGTAAAGTTGAATCACCATTCCCTTGGATCAGGTGAACGTGCAAAGTAAAGAGGAGCTTCAAGCAGGCTGGCCAAGATGTTTTAAATTCGCACAACCGGCAACCGCATGCTATACGATTCGGAGGCCGTTTGGTAGTTACTGCGAGAGGTAAGCGCGTCTACATGACGCTCGGACCACGGCTCAGCTGAGGCGTTCGAAAAACCGGTTCCCCGGAGAAGCCCTAGAACTTCTTCGTAAAAGCTAATGTTTCCCGAATGCCCCCACAGCATACGCTTAATCCTCACCACGAATGCCGACCTCATGGGCGTCATCGTAAACTCATAAAAATGATATTACTTACGGTTGATCAAGCGAAAGACTTGCTAGTGGGGAAAGCAAGCGGACCATAAGACCTGGTCACTAGCACACACACAGCGTGTCGGATCCGGTTACACTGAGTAGCGTGGCGCGCCCAGACGGTATAGATGACGCTATGCCATGCCACTGATACAAATGTTGTAAACCTGTTGTGGAAATCATGAGCCACGGCGAACACGTGCTGTGTGACCAAATTGAGCACGAGTGGTGTAAACATAGCACAAACTTGTGGTCACAACGCTCACCTCGTTGGTGGGTGTAACTGATACAAAGGGTGTTGCGTCAGGGAGAATTCATCTGACGTCCTGTGGACAGCCCAGGAAGAGTGAATGGATGTATCAGTTGCCAACACAAATAATCGGCCAACGGAGATTGAGGAAACCAACTCTCCCGATGGGACAGAAGGTTGACACACGACCCATAGACGTATATATGGTGAACCTAAGATCTTCGTAAGGCCACTAGATGAGGGCACTGCGAATCTGTTTCTGCGTGGTTGTCATTCAACAAGATGATCGTAGTGACTAATCTCTTGTCAGCCAGATCAGGGAAACTGAGTGACAAAATTACGTTTTGGACAAGTGGACTAACTAAAGACCAGTCGAAATGTTTGCTAGGCTTATGAACACTCACTACAACAGCGCCTCGCTCGTGTTGAACGAAGTTTCACATTCCTGATTTTTTTGCCTCTCAGGATACCGATTGAGCATACCATAAATTTTTCCATTTTCCCAAAATAAAGTGAAAAAGATGCAAAAGCTAGGCAAAAACGTTGTCTTTCCTGTTAAAGGAGCAAGTATGTGCGTGCAGAAAAAAACAGCAACTCAGAGGAACCTCGTCTTCGGTGGAGAGATGGTCAGGGAAGAGCGAAAACTTACAAAAGTGGCACTAAAGCACACAGAGACAACAGGGAGGTAAAGTAATGGAAAAAGTGATACATTTGCGAAGGGGGCTCAGTCGTGCCTTTTGTCGCGAAGTAGAACAGCTTAGCTGTAATAGGGTAAACAACAACAACAAGAGGAATGTGTGTGTGTGCAGACCAAAGACGCTGGTTTCGAGTTCGTCTTGCACTGACAGAGGACCAGAAAATGATAGCGAGCCATCACAGCAATTGCAAATGAAAGGTGATGACCAAGGAATGGCCAGAGGAAATTACATGATAAATAGAACAGAGCTTGGATGACGAAAAAATCAAGTCAGGTGACTAGGTGATATCTTCATCGTCACCGCCAATGGTCTTCTTGAGTTTCAGAAGCAACGAAGTAATCCAAGGATCGAGACGGGTGATGTTGTCGTACTCTTGAACCGCCGCTGTAAACGCCTCCACGTTTTCTTGTTCAAGAGCGTCTGATAGTTTCTGAAGCACAGACAAATAAGTGATGACTGTCGGTGTATCATATTGAGGGAAGGATGGTACAGTCATGAAGAATCCAAGGGTACCAGGAAAAGGTGTATCCTAACTGGAGCTCATCTGACAATCACAGGGAGGGGTAAAACAGATCTCATTACGACGACGACATGTGCGCTTGCCGATGAGTGAGGACGAGGTTACATTCAGATCGTACACTCAACCAAGTAGTGTCTGGACAGCGTAAAATGTATATGTCACAGAATCGACCTTCACCCATTGAGTAAGAGGATGATGCCATACTGACTACACGCATTGAGTCAACTATCATAGTGAGAGCTCAACGAGCATTCTGGTGGTGATCTTCACGCGCATAAATTTTTCCATTTTCCCAAAATAAAGTGAAAAAGATGCAAAAGCTAGGCAAAAACGTTGTCTTTCCTGTTAAGGAGCAAGTAACCACTGTGCAGAAAAAACAGCAACTCAGAGGAACCTCGTCTTCGGTGGAGAGATGGTCAGGGAAGAGCGAAAACTTACAAAAGTGGCACTAAAGCACACAGAGACAACAGGGAGGTAAAGTAATGGAAAAAGTGATACATTTGCGAAGGGGGCTCAGTCGTGCCTTTTGTCGCGAAGTAGAACAGCTTAGCTGTAATAGGGTAAACAACAACAACAAGAGGAATGTGTGTGTGTGTGTGTGTGCAGACCAAAGACGCTGGTTTCGAGTTCGTCTTGCACTGACAGAGGACCAGAAAATGATAGCGAGCCATCACAGCAATTGCAAATGAAAGGTGATGACCAAGGAATGGCCAGAGGAAATTACATGATAAATAGAACAGAGCTTGGATGACGAAAAAATCAAGTCAGGTGACTAGGTGATATCTTCATCGTCACCGCCAATGGTCTTCTTGAGTTTCAGAAGCAACGAAGTAATCCAAGGATCGAGACGGGTGATGTTGTCGTACTCTTGAACCGCCGCTGTAAACGCCTCCACGTTTTCTTGTTCAAGAGCGTCTGATAGTTTCTGAAGCACAGACAAATAAGTGATGACTGTCGGTGTATCATATTGAGGGAAGGATGGTACAGTCATGAAGAATCCAAGGGTACCAGGAAAAGGTGTATCCTAACTGGAGCTCATCTGACAATCACAGGGAGGGGTAAAACAGATCTCATTACGACGACGACATGTGCGCTTGCCGATGAGTGAGGACGAGGTTACATTCAGATCGTACACTCAACCAAGTAGTGTCTGGACAGCGTAAAATGTATATGTCACAGAATCGACCTTCACCCATTGAGTAAGAGGATGATGCCATACTGACTACACGCATTGAGTCAACTATCATAGTGAGAGCTCAACGAGCATTCTGGTGGTGATCTTCACGCGGCTTTTGTTGTGAAAGCAGTGCTGACTGAATCTGTGCCGTGAAACCCCCAGTGAGAGACCCGCCTAACAAACATACGTGGATGATTCTCCCAGCACCTTACTGTTCAGTTTCACTAAACCGGACAACAGACTGTTCCACCGAGAGACTGGGAAGTCTATCAAAAGGACACAGCACTATCAAGTGATGGACTATTTCATCTAATACCCCCACATTATCCATTCGAATCGGTGAAACGGTGGATCAATTAGTTTCGACCGCTAATGAGTCTGTACAACGTTGACAACAAATTATGAAGGTCAACAACCGGGTAAACACGCTCCAAATAGATCCGCTTTATCTCGGGGCTTTACTGCGACGTGGTCAAATCAGAGCTTGCTTCCATAAAGTTTATTAGCTGAGGCAAAAGAAGATAAATGTGCTGACGTTCGTGTGTGCCTACCAAGCAGAATCGGTGTTTGGTTTTATTTGATTATCTTGTTGCTTGAGGCCTAAACAATGCGCCACCCGTGTGGCAGAAGATGCATGGGCTAAAGAATAACGACCGTAGCGACTGGAGGTACCACCATTGCTCTCAACTTGGTCACTCACCACATATGGGAGAAGTGAGGAATGAGGGTCTATTTAGATCGTGAGCGGTCAGAATGCGAAACAGCTATGGATCAGTAACTCTCAGATACACAATGCGATGGGGCGAGGGAGGGTAAAATCACGCACCTCAGAAGTGCAGTTCGGTGGAAAATTAAAAAAGAAGACAGCAAATGAAAACTCCTCTGTGACAATGCCAGAAACACTGCGTTCCCTGCACCTGCAGATATAGTGAAGTTGAGAGGCCAAATTAGACACATCGATCCCGAAGATATCAGTGATTAGCTCGTGAGATCTAGTCTCCTTCATAACATCCGCGGTCAACTTAATGCCGTGGAACCAAGGAAGCATCCACTGAGAGGTCGACTGGAATCCATTTGGCTGGATTTCCTACCCGGTGATATTGATTACATCAGTGTAATTTTTCAAGCAAATCGAAACCATTTTTGAGTTGGACGGAGGGGAGCAGCTCCAGATAGCCGTCAAGACAAGGAAAGAACACGGACTAGCTGGTGAACGTAATACATGAAGAACGTTTGTTATCAAGTATAAAGTCACCTGGATACCGACCGTCCAAACGTATCCACTTGACCATTCAAAGCTACGCTTTAATAAACCACTTAGGATTGATATAAACACAGTGATGGGTAAACGGTACAGGTGTGAACAGCGGTTATTACCTCTTTGTTCGGACTACAGATGAGTAGCATTACGTCCGTTCATTATAACGGCTTTTTGTTTCCTTGCTGCTCGTTCCCCGGGTTTTTTCTCCTGCTTAGGTTCTGCTTATTCTCTAGCAACCGACGTCAAGATTTTGTTGCCTGTCCATCTTCACTTGCAAGTTACTATCGGCGCTACCTATTCTCAATTGTCTGCTCTGACGGGAGTCGAACTCAAAGCTCCTCCGATGGCAGGGGAGCGTGTTATCCGCCAATTCAACATCTCAGGAGGCCCTATTTTTCGTATTTTTCGTATAGCGCACCTGCCAGATAGCCCTTCTTGCGATTTGCTTCAAACGGACCTAAGCGCGCAATCCGATTTGGCACGTGACACAAGATGCTGCATCGCACCGTCAACCAGAGACAGCTCCTTATCTCCCGAACGTACTGATTATTTTCCGCGCCGTTATCTCTTACACGACCGATTTACACTGATTAACTGGCCGTATCTGTACGTTCGTACATCATTTGCTAAGTACTTGCTATTCCTTCGAGAAAGCCCTGCTGTGTCACTGACCACTTTTCTGCTCCTGCCGATTGTGCCATCATTGATTGAACGTTTTGCCTAATTCACTATGTTTATTAACCCGTTTGTCTTAGAATCAGTTCTTGGCAGTTCTCAGTACATCCTGTATTGCCATCGTCCGTCCATTCCTACTGCCCACTGCATACGAACTGCGTATAGTCCGATAGCTTCAACCGTCCTGTGAGATCCTAAGCTGCTCGGATCTTACGGGTATCTTGGCACTGATTCACAGAACCCAGGCACCTGAGGGCATTTTGTTTTCCCAGTCAGAAGTAGTAGAGTTGTATTAGACTTGTCTAACTGCTTCTGCTCCTCTAACACGGGCAAGTTTGTCTATGCAGGACAGTCGACAATTGTTCACCAAAATATGGTGAGTACGCACGATCCAAATCGGTGCGCCATGCTAATAGTGTGCGACGTGTCACTGAAGCTAGAACGACTACGTTTTCATCCAGATTCTTCGGCTTTATTTGAAACGAAATAGCTTCTCTTACGGTTTGCATAATCGAGTAAAAATTCACAACTTCCAAGGGGTACGTGTTCTTTACATCTCCTCGAAATTCCTTCTCAGTTGTGGAATCCACTTACAGATGGCGAGGAATTTGAGTTGGTTATATCCGAAAGCGACCCACTGTCTAATAGGACAGTGGTGGTCGTAGGGCACTTGAGAAGACATGATCAGTTTGTTAATCACTGTAAAATGTGTCATAGGTTGCCCAAACTAACTGACGGTCTTTGCGATTGAGTTGTCGCCCGTGACCGGTAGGGGGAAAATCGAATTTACATGTCAGCCACATTTTCACAATGAATATGGATACGAACCATGATGTTCCCATTGCTATAAATCAGCGGTTAATTAAATGTGATAATTCTTGCCACAGGATTTGTTCACCAACAAATGGCGCAATCTGGAAGTTCAGCCACATAGCTGCACAATGTGTGATGAACAGAAGTACGTCATTCTCACTCTCAACCAAAGGGTTCAGAAAGTTTGAGAGCCGAAAACCTATGGTTGGTTTAGGATATGGAACTACCAGGAGACAGCGTATTGGCCTTCGTGTCGTGATCTGACTGATAAAGCAATCAGAAGAAGTAATTCTATGATATTTCAAGGGTCATGATATAATCCTCTGGGCATGATTTATTTCATCATCTCATTGATGTATGCTGGACGCACCGATGAACATTAAGATCCGTTAAAGCCTAACCAAAATATCATTTAATGGAGCATTCACGACAGTGTCAAAGGGTGTGCAAACTGTATGAAGGTTGACAGATTCTTCTCAATGAAATTGATGTGAAGTTATCTGAGGTGTGCGGAAGTCGAGCGGAAAATCGCATTCACACGTCACCCGAATTTCAGTGACCTGGCACCTGTCCTGAAATGTTTCTATTAGGCGGAACTCTGCGCGAAAACCACCTTACCGATCGGAGTTAGGAACTATGACGGCCGATAAGGCAAACGCTCATGTGATTGGTCAGAAGATCGGGCCGCCTACCGACACACCATCAAGGCGACTCTGGTCGGAAATGTGAACCCAACAGCCAATCGTATTCCAGTATCCGCCAAATGCCGGATGCCACTACCGCGTACAGGTGTCTGGATTTCCAGAATATTGCTGTTGCATACACTTTGATTAAGATACACACGCGTGTGCACTTAGCGGCTCTTCTGCTGAAAACGCTAGCTTGGGGATCAGACAAAGCTGAGTTGGTGCATTACTTACCAATACACCTCAGACTATTCTACAATACCCACAATTCGTCGTGATATTTTAACTGCCAAGCCAGTTAATCGGAGCCAGGATGAACAATGTCAACAAACTGGGTATCGAGTATTTTTTACGCTGTGGTTTCATTTGCTCAGCTGTAGACTGCGCACGACACCAACTTACGGACTCAGGATTGTTCACGTATCATTCTACTAATTGTTGAGTCAGAATTGACAACATTTTCAGGCCTCTGTTGGACGGTTTTGTGTTTTTCCGTGGGACACAGTGGTCTCTTTGAGGGGATCCCCATTAGAAGGAAACAAAGACGGGGGAACTATTAAGACGATTAGATAGTACATGTTAAGGCTAAAATGCACACGTTGGAAGGGCAAACTAAATGCAGATGAAATTGAATTACGAATACCGATAAGATCATTTTTCAGCTGATGAGAAGCCAAGGTCACTCCCAGTTGTACCCAAATCAATACCCCCAGACAGTTAGTCTGTAGGACAGCACAGTGTTAAAAGAACATAGTGCATGTTATGCACACGACCGAGCACCCTTCTAAAAGCAAAACGACATAGCGTGCTACAAACAACATAGCCATCAGTTTCCGACTACAGTTCCTTTTTGTAATGTCCGAAGGGTCCGCGAACCCACCCGCACTCTTTCGGCAACTTCGCCAGTCTGTTAAATCGCCACTCGGGGGAAACCGTCATTGTCCTAGGTGTTGATCTACATTCCGCTAATCTGAGTCCTCCGCTTGCGTGGTACTGTTGTGCCTTTGGCTTGTACCATGGCCTGGTTAGACGGAAGTAGAGAATACGATCATCAACTCGATAGAGTATCAGCGTTGAGTTTATTTGAAAGTTTTATTAACAAAATAAACAGACGACGTGTGACTTTCAACTGCCCACCACGGTGCTCAGCTTAGTTCAGTTTGAACAGGGTCGATTTAACATTCACCGGAGACTCTCAAATCTTCCGCGTGACCGTTCACTAGAAAGCACAACAACATCTAGGCCTACAGTCCTATACGATTAAAACAGGTAGCATTGGAGAACTTGGGAGCTGGCGTTCAGGCAAAATACGTGCACCAGAAGTTCATTATTTTACTGACTGTCTGACAAAAGAGAAATAAGATATTTTCCTACTGTGAGGTTTACAGCGGCCACCTAATTTTGACCAACTGGACCAGCTTCTACGGGTTCCAGGAGTGCTAGGGGCTGGGTTATTATTCAACACCAAAAGGAGAGAAGACCACTTCAGAAATAAGCGGACAAATTAGGATGAAAACAAAACCTACCTTCATCAGGGTGCATTCACGAGAGTCAGCAAACATTGGAAATGACTCCTCGAATGTTTTTAATGCCTTCTGACCATTTATCAAATCCACACAGAAGTGACAGATGGAGGACTTGAAAAGATGCTCCTTAGCTCCGTATTTGAGTAATTTGTTTTCCATCGACGCTTTTCCCACCTGAAAATCCAGTCAGAAAAGACTCGTGGAGAAGCAAGTGATTCTGGATACGTCAATCAAACCATTGCCGACTTATAGTTTGTGGATGATGTTCATGAGTTATGGCTACAGAGCAAGTGCGGCATCCGTTCTCAAAATGACCAAATAGTGTCGAAAAAATCGTTCAGTTGTACGACCCCGTCGGTGCCTAGCTGCCATACTACCCAAAAGAGGCATGAGAGCTGAGGTACCACCAGGTTTCCCAAGCCTAGACAGTCCGGATGTCCGGGTTGGATACGTAGTTTTACCAGTGGATCATCCTTACGGTATAGAGAATACATTCGTTGTGCAGCAACATAATTTGCTCAGGATAGTCTGGAATCACTTTGGACTTTCTGGAACAGGGGCTTCAACAAAGGCGAGACCGACCGTGAAGTGTCCAAATTTTTTATCGACCTTGTGAGTAGTACGGAAAGGTTTCTGCTAAACTCGATGAAATGTTGGACGACTGAACCAGCAAACTCCAGTAAACTGAAAACCCAGAGTCAGGACTTAATTCTTCAGGACAATGTGACCTCTTCATGTGTCAAGCTGAAGACCATAGTTACCCACAATTCGCTCTAGAAGTTTGTTCTGAACGAGAATAAACATGGAGTAAGAACGGGCGCTCTCCATACTAGCCACAGACTCCATATAAAAGTTTGCCGTAATTGTCTGTACTCAAAAACGTCTGAATTACAGAGTATGACTCAAACACTCGTACCCAACCTCTTACCAACACTACGCTGTAGACGGTGAGGAGTCAACATTGTGGATTTTGTCCCTCACACAAGGTGAACCCATGTTGGACAGCCAAGGATTGCTAAATCCTGTCTACTTTTGAGTTATTCACAGTACTGACCGGTCATATGTAGGTGAATGACGTATTGTTGAAGCTGCTATTCAGACGGTCTCGAGTTGGAAACATCTTACAGATCCACAAGACGTATGCTGGTGATGACTGATAACAGGTATGAAACAGTTTAACAGTGTTTTTCGGTTCTTCTACGCAGCCGACCTTCAGTTGCAGAATGAAATGCCTTCCAGCACATAGTATCGACCATAACCCACAAGCAACTATACGGAAAACTCTTATTCATCCATCAACCCCTGAAAAGTTCAACAGGGTATCAGCACCACACAGTTCAAACTGGGACTCTAAAGATGTTGATGACCCCGAACAAGAGCGTGACAGTGTTTAAGCAATGGTGGACTTGTCTTCAAGCGATGATAATTCGTGGAAAAATTTTAAAAATACAAAAATCCCACCAGAAGAACTAACATCAGAAAAGGAATCATTTAACCTTCAATGGGAGTAGTCGTCCCTTATGGGAAAGACCGTGCTATAGGTGGTCGCTGCTAGGGAACGTTATTCAGGAGAAGAGTAGCCTCTCTCCAGAAAGGTTTCAAAAAACGGGCAAGGACAAAGAACTAAAGCCGAAAGTACCTCTTCGAAGATATCGGCGGCTTTGCTATACTGCCCCAAAGTGGCGGACAACTGGGCAACCATGAGTTGACATTTCATTGCCGAGCTATTGGACTCCTCACCCTTGAAATAATCGGCCGCTTGTTCATAGTGCCGAATAGCCTGCTCCAAGTCTACCAGTACGGTCTCGTAGATCTCCGCAACTGTCATGTGATGCTTCGCTGCTGTTGAGAACCGACCCATTTCTATCAGAGTAAAAAGATAAACAAACCATTTGATCAGGATGTATAAAATACAGGACAGTCATTGAGAAACTTAGCTGAGGCAAAGAGAGCGGTTTCGCTAACAACTGTAAGACACGAAACCTCAGGCTCAGTGTCGAGTACACAGAAACCACCTGACTATCATGAGCAGTCAAGTTCCCCGACAAAGCTAAGCTGATCAGTATGACAAATAGTACAAGGAGGTCCCCCAACAGCTGTTCAGAGAAGAAACCAGAGCTATTCAAGAGGGAGGGAGAAAAGTGTCATGGCACAGCATGACGATAATCGGGGTCAAAAAAGGAGTACATGTGGAGATGGGTGACAGCCCAAGACAATCCGCAACTATAAACTAAGTTATACGATAGTGCACTACTTATAAGGTAGTTGAAAATTTTTCGACAGCCCACGGCTGGTTTCGTCCTTCTTGGGGCTCATTAAGTAGGCACAGTCCTCGAGTTTCCGGTCGTGTGCTTTCAAAGGATTTTCAGCAACCTTGTGAGTAGTGCATCACGTATATACATGTACCGCGATATTTCGAATATCGTACCAACTGAAACATGAGACGGCCTGAAGCAGCACATTCAGTTGCCCGGAAACATTACAAACGAGAAATTCAGCTGGGCTCCAGGAGAGTCGCTCGCAAAACTAAATTTGTTTGCAAATGAGTGTACGTCGCTAAGTTACCGTGGTTTCAACTGCTATGGTTTCGTTCAACAGCGACAGCCACGCACTGGAGACAATGGCTTAATCAGTTCATTGAATTAGAGTTGTTACATACCTTACTAGGTGCGGGATATGAGAACTATTCACTGAAGACAAAAGCTCTTGTGCATGCTCATCAGCGAATGCGCGATTGAGTTGTATATGTCAGGCTCATCAACCACTGGTGCACCTCATTCCGGGAAGATTATATTTGCCAACAAGACAGTTGACCGGTGTGGGATTACACCATTCGTTGTCAAGTCAGCGTCGTTTCCGGCAGAGACACGACTGGGCGAAAAGTGTTTTACGAGTTAAAAGGTTCTATGAAGTATGGAGTTCACAGTCTAAATACCGTCCAATTGATCCTCTGCGGAATTATTTTTCCTGAAAGCCATTCGATATAGCTTCACCATACGGACTTGATGTTTCCATTGGATTTGTGTGGCCATTCGGACATATGAAGCGTCAAATGTAGAGAATTTTGAGCAACTGCACGTGGCGGTTATGTGTCTGCTTCGCAAAGTAGGAGATAGCACTGCTGCAGTGTACATTCTACTGTTTATGGCTAGCCCGATGTCCAGTTAACATCAAAGATGTAGGGGACTTGGGAACGCCATCCTGCCCTTACAAACGAAGATTTATTCATCTGTTCAGAATAGCAGTGGGACGAAAGTGAAAATGACTAGCTCACCTGTGTGTGATAAGGATAGAATAGAGTGATAGAAAAGTATGAAGACAGTGCATGAGAACCGATTGAGAGTTTCATGGAGTACCATGCGATATATTAAAACCACCATCTTGAATGTGAACTACCAAAGTAATTCGCATAACTATGATCATCTGGCTCTTGCAGATTTCGCCAAAAATTGCAAATAAACAAGAGATTCGTGTAGTAATCAATTATTCGCCGGAAACAGTGCGAGACCGGATGATATCCATAATTTCCCTTCTTGCCAAATTCTAAATGAGTGGAGTACAAGCGATGCACGAAGAGAGGAAGCAATGTATGGTCCAGTCACCTGGCGAAAGATTAATCAGATGTCTTTCAAACTAAGCTTGTATGTCATCCGAACAACGATGGCAGTAAGCATGAGTGTGGCTCAGTGAAACTAGCAGATAATCCACAACATGAGTGCGTTGAATACCCCCCAACCAGATCATAAGTTGATCAGATTTGAAAGTTCTGGGTATCTTTTCACTCGTTTCAGACAGATCCAGTCAACTTCTTTGGATTAATTATCATCACTCACTCCGAGTCGGAATCCAAAGCAACACTGAAATCACCTTGGTTCGCACTCTCCGAAGAAATCTAAGTGTGTTGATTGGGTGGATGACAGCATCTACTTCCAGGATTGTAGTAAAACTAGAGTGAACAACTAAATCCAAAAGATACTGATGCATAAAGACCGAAGCAAGTCAACGAGAAAATGAGGAAGAAGGTATCGAACAGGGCTCCTCTTGCTGTAGGAATTTGAGGCAGTCCATAAAATTTGACGAGGGATGAAGGTACCCAATGTCGATACAAACAGACATCCCACTTTCCCTTGATTGCAAGATCTGGTTCCAACCGATCATTATCTGATTTTTAAACCCGAATTTGCTTGTTGTGCACGGCGCCTTGAAGGTGGTAAGACATCATGTGTTACAGGCTCGAATCCGACCCGTTCCCATGAAGAGGCGATAGTTAAACATCGCTGTGTAAGTTGGTGTGATGTTCAGAGCATTTTGGACTTATAAAATGCGAATGCCTCTCGCATTTGATCAGAAGAAATTTTTGGTTTATCTTGAATACGTGGGTGCAGTAGTAACACTGTGAGCCAGGATTCCGGCTCCTGGGCTGTCTGCACCACAGGAGTCAGTGGAACCAAAGAAAGTACAGAGACCCAAAAAGATAGCCTAGCCAACCTAATTATGGCAGGTGACTGTGAATGCATCATCCTCTCCGCCCAATGGATGGGTCCAGTTTTACGCCGGCTCCAGAAATTGATCCAAAACTGCCCTTTTAGCTGAACCCTGAGGACGTCTCGGAAACAATTAGACATGACACATGAAACGCAGCGATCAAACTTCCACAGGGTCCACCAACTCGGTAATTAGTATAGACCATTGTCTGTCACGACAAGATACACGGTAGTCTAGAGAAAGGATAAAAATTCTCCTTGATCTTATCAAAAAACGGGACAAGCGTAAAAAGTCCGTTAAGGACGATCCCGTTAAAATGCAAGTGGATTCACGTAGATCCTTAATAGAGATGACAAAATAGAGCCAAACCTGAATTTGAGTAGAATTCGCTAACGAGTTATTAAACGCCGAGGTGCTGTGAACGGGGTCACTTGATCAAGATGACTTGTAGCCAACACATATCAAACTCAGGGTGGTAATGCGCGTGAGAAAAAAGGCGGAAATATTGAGTTGGTTGCAGTTGCACAGAATTCCAAACCATCATCAAATGGGAAGGAAACAGGTAGGATACAGAAGCAACCGGCCGTTGTTTGCCACGGCAGGCGCACTTCGTTCAGGCAGGGGTGCGAACCTGTCAGGTCTCGCGTCCTTTTAGCAGTGGTGCTAACAATACACGATTAATATAAACTTCACGGTGAACATGACATTGAAGGACAAGCGGGGCACGCTGAACGATGGTTAGCGGCAAGGGCGTCACTCACCGGTGTATATTTCAATGGCTTGATTTATGCACTCTATGGAGCGCTGTGGATCGACTTTCTTAAATGCAGTAGATGCATTCACGAACTGTGTGGCCGCTTCATGCTTCGCCTTATCCTGAATACACAGTCGTGCCGCTTCAAGAAACGCATTCCCGGCTTCTGCAAAAAGAAGTCAACTGGAACCCACAAAAGCCCCATACCAGTCCAATTGTGCGCCATCTTGTAACAGTTGGCGGCCTTTTCGTACAAGGAGACCATTTCTTGAATTTTATCCCCACTTCTAAAAATCCGGTGAAAATAAGGGAATAATAGAATTTCACCAGTAAAAAATCGAAATAAAGACTAAAATCGCCATTACTGAATAACGAACCCTGAAATCAACTGCAAATACGATCCAATTGTAAACTGAACAATCAAAGTGGATGAGATCACATTATGTACGAGTAAATGCATTCGGGCAAAAAAGTATTAAATAGCAGCCGGAGGAGTAAGATGGCATCACCGATTAGTTGGATGCCAGTCCTGGTGAAATCACCAGTGAACATTGCCAGACAAAGAACTGTTAAAGATCACTGCATCTACCAACATACCGCATGTTTCCCTTATTCATATCGTGCACGACTATACATATGCGATGCGGTTGTTTTCGTGTCGTTGATTGAATCGGCGCATAGCTACTGCGAATGCAGGCCAGCCAATAGTACGAATATTATGAAACGCTGCGATTATGTCGCTGACCAATGTCATCAGCTAAACTTGGAACTTGATCATGTTTGACTTTACAGAGTTGGTTACTCACTCACAATATGCAATCCCGTTAAGTGAACCGCAAATGCTCTGGCATACAAAATAATACAATCAAATATGGGTTAACTGAGAAGATTGAAACAGTAGGGCGCACACGTCAGTGGTGAAATACCGGTAGCTGGAACACTAGACAACATCATCCTAAAAACGGCGAAGATAATTTTCACATCTAACCGATGATCCAACAGGATAGCGTTGTTACAGAAGTACACTAATTTGCAAATCAATTTGGTTTTCACGAGATACTCAACTGAATCTCTCGTTTATGATATTCTACAATTGAATGTGCTGCACACAGGCCGCCTCATGTTTCAGTTGGCACGATATTCGAGATATTGCAGTATATTTTCATAAAGGAAACTACTCACAAGGTTGCTGAAAACTCTTAGACAGCCCAGGACCGGTTTCGCCCTTCTTGGGGCTCATCAGGTAGGCGCAGTCCCCGAGCTTCCGTCAACCTTATGATCGACTTGAACCCAAATTGCACTGTTTTTGAGAAATACACTCATTTGCAAATCGATTTGGTTTTACGAGAGACAACTGAATCTCTCTTTTATGATATTCTACGACTGAATGTGCTGCACACAGGCTGCTTCATGTTTCAGTCGGCACGATATTCGAGATATCGCAGTATATTTTCATAAAGGAAACTACTCACAAGTTTGCTGTGAGTGGGCTGTCGAAGTGTTTTCAGCAACCTTGTGAGAAGTTTCCTTTAGGATAGTGTTGTGTTGTTGGGTAAACACTGTTCCGTGATTTTTCTCTCTAAACTTCTATTTCCATTTTCATCGTCTGCTGATCTAAGAAACAACATGTATGGCTATGAAGAAAACACCCACCGAAATTAGTGTCCGCTGATTGCAAACCAAAACCATCAACCATACAACTGGAACTGAATAGGGACTCAAGAGCGAATACAAAGTTGCTGTAATGTGCACCTATGCTTCCAGCTCACAAACAAACTGTGAATGACGGATGATCGTGAGCAACAGCTGATCATACACATGGACACAGAAGGCATAGCTTCCCTCTTGTGATGACCTATACCAATTAACGTTTCTAATAGCGGTGCAAATCACCTGACTCCAACTGCTCTGCCGTCATCCTCAAGGACAGCAACATCAGTGGTGGTGAATCAGGGGGGACCTGATTCTAGCCTGTCGCGAGCATTTTGAGGTGTCCATATCCCCAAGCACCCAATCAATCTGGAGAGAAACTAACAGTACGAACGCTACTGACAGACTAGCCGCCATTTCTTGCAATGTCTGTGGCCAAGTGCAGAAAGAGTAACGGGGACTCTATCCTAGAAGGCATACAACACCAACCTAAACTCTTCGTAACCTCTTTCACACCCTTCTACTAATCCATATGTTGTCCATCCAACGGTTTCGTGCCATTTCGAAGGAGGCATGAAGAACAACACTCGTCTCGGTGGACGGTGTTTCGGCATGCGCGAAACATGGCCGAGCCATCATAGTCGATGGTGCTGGATGTTTTCCGCGGTTGAAGTACTTGCCACACAACCAAATGGTCGTTTTCTAGCTACCACGTTACGAATCTATATATATATATATATATATATGTATATATATATATATATGCATACATCACACACATCATATACATACACACATATCATAGATTAATTAATTAAACATTGTTTCATGACCCTCTGGTGCTAAACATAGGCCTATGGTGGTCGACTGAGATTGATAGTAGAGTCGTTCTTTCTACCAAGACTATTGGACGACATGTAGCTGTATGAGAACGAACAGCTGAATGGAGTTCAAAACACGTCTTCAATTGACCCGAAGCTGCAAAAAGTCCCTCAATTACGGGTTTATCCCTGACCACAATCTCACGGTCTCCATTATATGCTAAAGCCGCAGAGAGAGAGAGGGAGAGAGAGCAATATGAACTGGTGCCCTCCATAGCGCTCGTAATAGTCAAAACGGTGAGCAAAGAGTTTAAAAAGGATATCAGTGAAGTTGGTTGGCTGTACTATCTGCAACTAAGTTTAGGGAGCTTGGTAGATCAGGTAGATCAATGCTAAACACACAAAAAACTTGTTCTAACTGCGTTCTGATTCAAGTTGACACATAAGTACACACCAATAACTGCGGTCACCCGTGTACCACAATGATCTTGCGAAACGCGGCATTCATAAGGCATAGCTACCAGGATACAATCAATATCGCCTATCGGCAGACGAAAAACTCTAAAATGGTTATTATTGCAAAACCTAAAAAGTCCGACTGTGTTGCATTCAGATTCGTCTACTAAGAACAAATTATCACAGGAGTGAAGCATCAGTGTCAAAATCGATGCTGCTGTCTCCGATGATGATTACTTCTCGCATTGTTGGCTTTTTTGATAAGGACGATACCCATGACGCACTGGTTGCCATACTTGTATTTGGTGATAATAAGAGTTTGCGCAGCGTACTTCTAAATGCCAGCTGAAAAACACAAGCCAACGAGAGCTCATCAAACTGGACATCAGCATTATCGGGGCAAATAGCTGTGTTCAACCTGTTCTCTAACTTCGCCAAAAGTGCACTGAACTCGCTTTGAATGTGTAACCACTTCAATCTGTGTTATCTTCTGAAGGGTTAGGCGAAAATGCACACTCAAAAGCTTTACAACTAGGTGTAAGGGATAAGAAGCAACACCATACACCAACATGAAAAAAGCGTTTGATCCATCTTACCGGCGCCTGTAAGAAGAGTATGGGGAGCATCAGTTCTGTGGATAGCCACAGCAGGGTGCATCGAGTACTGATAATCGAATGGTTTGTAATTTGTGAGTTTTTGAGTCAGAATGACATAATGTAGTCACATAGTGAACCCACCCATTATCACAGCCACGCCCTGGATCGCCCAAAACCAGGCATTACGAAAACGGGGTTGTGCTCAGCGCTTCTCCGTGAATTCAAAAGTTCCTTGATGAAAAATCAAGTTCAACAATTTGTTTTCATGTGGGTATCAAAGACCATGATAAAGGAACCTATTGCTGCCGGTAATTTGGGAAGTAATCCTGTAAATGATAACAGGAACATGGCGGGGAGCACCGGAGGCGGTCACTGTTAGAACGGCAGTCTCGCAACAGATGTACGCTGGAAGAGTATTTGACGGTAAATCCACAACAAGGTACAGGAAGGTGCCACGTTTGTCCCTTTAAAAAGCTCACCCAAATTTTAAAGGGTAGCCAAAGCTACGCTTAATGATGGAATCATACCACTTGACACTGCTTCCAGGAAATAACAATGGTCGTCCTTCTCGAATTGAAAGCTTCCTTTGACTCTGTAGACCGTCAGACCCTGTTGCAGTATCCGTGGAGCAAAGGTGTCCCCTGTAAATTTTGGATCCTCCTTAAGGCGCTGTACGCCAACTCCTGCAGGCATGTGAAGGTGTACGGTAGGCTGTCGCCTGAGTTTACTACATCAATTAGTGTCAGGAAAAGCTACCTTCTTTCACCTTTCCTCTTCAACTTAGTCACTGATACGATTATGGAAGACTCCCTACGAGTCTCTGATGCGTCTGGGGTCGAAATGCTCCAAGAGCATTCGCTCACACATAACGAGTATGAAGACAACATAGCCCTTTTTAAATCTGATGCCGTCGTAGTGCAAACACTATTAAATAATCTAAATAATCCTGCTTCACGGATTGGCATGCGCTTCACACCTGCAAAGTGTAAAGTGCTACTGCAAAACTGGATAGACTCGAACCCTGACCTCATGATTGCGATGAGCTGATTGAGGTAGTAGACAATTTTACCTACCTCGGAAACCGTATCTGTCCCGGTGGTCTAGCCAAGGACGATATTTCCATCTGGATTGGGAACGCCAGAGCAGCCTTCGTAAACCTTCAGCAGCTGTGGCGTGGGCATGACATCGGCTTATCTGTTACGAGTCGAGTTTACAATCTGCAGTGCGCTCCATATTACTATACGGGTCAGAAACCTGAACGCTGCGCGCTGAAGTAGTCAGTGTTTGGCCACTGATGTATTCGGAGCATTGACCGAGTCTGGTGGGAACGCCGGAGCAGCAATGCTGAAGTACGTCGAACGGTATTGGGAAGAAATTACCCATCTACAATAGATGAACTGACCACACTCCATAGGTTGCCGCCTCCCTGGATGGGGACCTCGAAACGAGACACATAAAGAGTTAGAGATATTGTCAGACATGGCCCAGTCACGCCCTCAGTGGCGCTCGTGCATTCGAGCTGTTGCCCTCAGTGCATAGCTCCTATCCCAACCTCTCCAATGAAAAAACGTCAGAGACTATTTTTGACATCCATCCCCTACAGCTAACATATCTCGGTCCAGCCTACACTGCAAAAGTTTTCACGATGAAAACTTCGGGCTTCTTTTATTTGTTTAATAGAATCACCGACTCAATGTGAGTAGGCGGTGCCATTTCTGGAATGGATCTCCCAATGAAGTGCAGATGAAGATAATCGAAGCAGTG